TTAACGTTTCATGTCTTGTTACATAAGAATATATCATATTTGTTAAGTGTTATTAAGGGAGAATTCCTATTCTTGTGGTACTGCTGCCTTATTAGGCCCATATTGAGCAGAGCATATTAAGACCCAAACTCATGTACAACAACTTCCTTACTTGCAATACATAAGCACTAATTAGAGGGTTATTGAGGAAAAACTCTCAACTAATAGCTTATTACTTGTAGAATATTGTCATGCAGAATAAGGCATTAATAAGTGTTTTATAATGACTAATAAAGAGCCTAATATGCATGTTTATGAACAACTAGTTGATGGTGAATTTGTGTACCTTAATATAATGTTAGACTTTTTTTTGGAACATGTTTACATATCTTTAAACAGTGAAACCCAACAGAACAGATTTTTTATTTTTTTATTTAGCAATATTATATACAGAATCATAATTTTACAGAAACAGTAAATTACCAGAAACACTCAGTGGTTCGACACCCCCTCCCTCGTCAGTTTTATAAATGGAGGTCTGGCTCCTGCTCTCACAATCATTACAAACCCTTCTTTTCGCACCAACCCTGATGAACCTTAACAGAAGTCAACTTCTCATGAGTTTCTCAGAATAACGCCTCTGATGTTCAGCTTTGTGACGATGTGTTTTCCTGCTGGTCTGTATTAAGCTTCAGACAAAACCATCTGGAGAAACCTGGGGATAGATATCTGACAAACGTAATGAACTAATAGTACCTCAGAAATGTAGTGGAGTATATGAAGTGTCTTTAAAAAGGGAACATCAACACACGTGAAAAGCTGTAATCTGAAAACTAAATCTCGCAGCTTCAGTTTATTATTAGTACAACTATGCATAAAGTAGAGGGACGCAAGAACGAGTATCTAAATGTAGTTACATACGATAGTGAGTAAATGTATTCCAGAGAGATTTTTCCACGTATGTTTCTGAGTATTTCAAGATATTTTTGAGGAATGTTTTACACAATGTTTTGGATTTTTCTTTACAAATATTACATTTTAAAACTTGGCACCAAACTCTGGTAAACTCTGATAAACCTTGAACCCATGTCCCCCTCCCCCAAAAGTAATGGTTTCTCCCGCTACGAGCAGGCTGACCAGAGGAAGTCAACTTCTCCTGAGTTTCTCAGAAAAATTGCTCTGATTTTCAGCTTTGTGACGATGTGTAAAAAAAAGACTGTAATCTGAAAAGTAACTAAAACTCACAATTGTAGTTTATAAGTAGTTAAAATATGCATAAAGTAGAGAAACCCAATAATGAGTATGTCTAGATATATCTAGAATACGATAATCAGTAAATTTATTCCAGAGAGATTTTTCTAAATATTTGTTTAGGAACTATTTACAATTTTTTTTAGATTTTTTTAATAAATATTGAATTTAAGCACCAAACCCACCCCCCTCCCGCACAATGAATGGTTCCTCCCGCCAAAAGGCGCACGGAGAGACGAACAGGGTGACCTGAAGTTGAAAAAGTCAGCTTCTCATGAGTTTCTCAGAAAAACAGCTCTGATTTTCAGCTTTGTGACGATGTGTAAATGAAATTAAATACGATACTTGAGTAAATGTATTCCAGAGAGATTTTTCTGAGCATTGCTAAATATTTTTTCAGGGATGTTATACACAATGTTTTAGATTTTTCTTTATAAATATTTAATTTAAAAACTTGGCACCAAGCTCTGTAAAACACTGATAAACCTAGAACCCACCCAAATTAAAAAGACTGTAATCTGAAAAGTATCTAAAACTCACAATTGTAGTTTATAAGTAGTTACAAATATGCATAAAGTAGAGAGACGCGAGAACAAGTATATCTAGACATATCGAGAATACGATAATGAGTAAATTTGTTTTACACTATGTCTTTTGATCTTTTTAAATAAATATATTTTTAAAAAACTTTACACCAAACAATGGTAAATACTGACAAACCTTGAACGCCCCCAAAATGAATGTTTCCTCCCTCTAAAATGTGTACGGAGAGACGAACAGCGTGACCTTGGTGAGGTATCGCCCCAGCAGCTGGTTCCTCTCCAGTTCACTCATCTCCACTTCGGCCTCCAGAGTTGACGGACCCTCGATGGGTGTCACCAACAAAAGGGTCCCTGTCTGTCTTCCTGAGCGCTGGACGCTGAAATGACCTCGCCCTCGACCGCCAGCCAACCCGAAACGCAGCGTGTCGCCAAGGACTCGAGCCGCCGACACACGGAAGAGGACGCGGGGGGCGGCCATGTTGGAAACCACAGACAGGAAGTGGAAGGAGATGGAGTTTGGAGCCTGAGAGCACGACTTGTCTCCGGACATGCAGGGGTTCCTCTCACAGCGCCTGGGGAAACAAGATAAGGTAAGATAAGATAAGATCCTGAACATCAGCAGGAGAGGACTCTTTAAAGTAGAGACACTACATACTGATATACACCTGAACATCAGCAGGAGAGGACTCTTTAAAGTAGAGACACTACATACTGATATACACCTGAACATCAGCAGGAGAGGACTCTTTAAAGTAGAGACACTACATACTGATATACACCTGAACATCAGCAGGAGAGGACTCTTTAAAGTAGAGACACTACATACTGATATACACCTGAACATCAGCAAGAGAGGACTCTTTAAAGTAGAGACACTACATACTGATATACACCTGAACATCAGCAGGAGAGGACTCTTTAAAGTAGAGACACTACATACTGATATACACCTAGAAATGAACAGAATATGTCCTCCTAATTTTTACTAATTCAGTCACAGCTTTTTACTGTTTGTTTTCAAACTTCCTCTCTGGCAGAATAAACTCTAACCGTGACTTTAAAGCTAACGCTAACCCTGCTTTCCCCCCGGAGAGTCGGCACACACCGCTGTCTCCCTGCATCACCAAAACATGCAGTTAAGTTTCAGTTGTGGGAATAAATCAGACCTCCAGACACGTTTCTGTTTGCACCGCCATCAGCTGATTGGCTGAATGGAGCCGCTAAACCTCAGCGTCTTGAAGCCAAACCTCAGTCTGACTCTCGGCCATGTTTCTGTCAGAGGAGGGACACTAACTGTGGGGTGGAGAGAGGAAGCGGGCGACATGGAGGTAGAAATCATTGTTTTTTAAAACCTCTCTCCATCGCCCAGTCTTTGTGTTTTGTGGTGGGAAGGTTTGTGGTCTTCCCTCCTTCTCTACGTGCTTTGTTTGCAGTTTCATTGTGTTGTTGAGACGTGTTTTCACACTGTATTCTCACGAGGCGGTTCACTCCGCTAATTCAAACTCATGCTGCTGTCTAAAGTTATTTGTAATGCACAAAAATTACAGAGAAGCATCATAGGCTCCCTCAAACAATGCTCATTAAGTATTTATAATTTAAAAAACTGTAAATGTAAGAATAGGCATGGTAAATGTTGGTAATTAAAACAACAAAACCTTCCAATCAGAGAGCTAAAAAGGATGTTCTGTAAGTTGAACTATAGCTTTGTGTACTTGTAAACACTCTGATCTCATTTGGGTTTAATCAGCGTTGCTCTCATTATTTTAGTCAACTTTTTTTGGGGTAAACTTTTTTCTTGTTAACTTTTTTTTAGTACTTTTTTGGTCAACTTTTTATTTGGTCAACTTTTTTTTGCAACATGCAGCTTTTAGTAAACGCTGGACATGTTTCCTCAAGTTGCTGAAGATGTTTCTTCATGAGTAGGAACATTTAGGTTTTTATATCTGCATTGTGCAGCTAGTTTCTCATAATGGCCGGCAGTGGCGATTCTCGAGTCTGTGGGGGCCCTAGGCAAAGATTCACTGGGGGCCCCTCGAACCAGCTTTCATCACCATCAGTGGCGCCCCAACACAGAGCGGAGCAAGGCAACGAAACTTAAAATAAGAAGCAGCATTTTACAGCGCGCTATGCATGGGCCCCCCTTGAGGGGGTTTCCCGACATGTCGTTGCAGTAAATTAAAGGGTGTTTCATGTTGTCGTTGCTGTGGACCTTCTTAATCTCCCTTCTTTGGGGGCCCCCTTCTGGTCCGGGGCCCTAAGCAGTTGCCTGCCTTGCCTGTTCGCAAGCGGCGCCCCTGCCTGTCGGCTACCGTACCTTTCAGTTATTTGCAGGCTTACATATTTCCAACATTGCTCTTTAAACTCTTGCTGGTTTGCATTGCCTTTCTATAGAAGATACTAATAATACATTCACAAGTGATTGTTTTTCCTTGTTTCATGTATTCACTCCCACCTTGAAGAGTCTTAAAGAAGAGTGTGTACTACCAGGTAAGTTCATATTGAAACTCCACAATGTTCACGTGTGTTTTAACACCTAACCCTTGATCAAATACTGAAGCCATCCTTCAGGAGCGGTGTGTTGAATGGAAATTAAAAGTTGTAATTCTTACATCGATGACGTCTTGATGTACGTGGCGTTCTTCATTTGAGGACACTCCACCTTCACACACTGGAAACCTCCGAAAGTGTTCACACACACCTGGTCTGCTGAGCAGTTGTGCATCCGGTTCTCACACTCGTCCACGTCTGAGGAGAGGGAAAGAGAGGCGTTTAAGAAACAAATAAATGAAAAAAGTACTCTGAGGGAAAAGTAGTAACACCACAGTCTTAAAAATACTCCATTACATGTTAAAGTATTAGTAATAGTAATGTTATAGGCTTAAGAATTGAAGTATAATAAGCAAAATGTACAAAAAGTACTCATTATGCAGATTGAGTCTTTCAAACTGGTTTTTTTTTTGATATAATTACAGTTGAATATTCAGTTTTTATCACAAACAAATACTTTTTAATGTTGTAATTCGTCATTATGGAGCAGAGTTTAAATACGTTGTGTACAACTGAGTAGGTTAGAAGTACATTTGTCATATACATACATACATACATACATACATACATACATACATACATACATACATACATACATACATACATACATACATACATACATACATACATACATACATACATACATACATACATACATACATACATTCATACATACATACATACATACATACATTCATACATACATACATACATTCATACATCATGTTATTTATGCAAAAGGTATTATTCTTCTTAGTGCTGCCTCTTCTTCATGTCTCTTCTACATCAACATGTGTCCCCTCTTCTTCATGTCTCTTCTACATCAACATGTGTCCCCTCTTCTTCATGTCTCTTCTACATCAACATGTGTCCCCTCTTCTTCATGTCTCTTCTACATCAACATGTGTCCCCTCTTCTTCATGTCTCTTCTACATCAACATGTGTCCCCTCTTCTCCATGTCTCTTCTACATCAACATGTGTCCCCTCTTCTTCATGTCTCTTCTACATCAACATGTGTCCCCTCTTCTCCATGTCTCTTCTACATCAACATGTGTCCCCTCTTCTCCATGTCTCTTCTACATCAACATGTGTCCCCTCTTCTTCATGTCTCTTCTACATCAACATGTGTCCCCTCTTCTTCATGTCTCTTGAAACCTGTCTGAAAATGAGCTGATCAGATTTTGGCCACTTTATGATGTCATGTCTTGTGTAACCATTAGCCAATCAGCAAACAAGGTAACCCCCCCTCCCCCTTATCACCTGAATCTCCTCCTAGAGCTCCATTGAGTTCTTTGTAACCAAATCTCTCTCAGAGGGGCGTGGGGAGGGGCTCCTTATTTTCATCTAAAGTAACAGACAGAGAATCAGCACTTTGGAAACAGGGCTGAAACAGAGGGGATTATGGGTCATGCTGCAATGATCTGTTTGGTGTTTCAGCCAATCAGAGACAGGCTCTATATATCTGAGACCTGTGATATATTGATGAAACACTGTATCACAGGGGACCTTTAAAGGACATTTCGTCCGGACGCTTGCCACTGTTTTCCCACCCTCCACCTTCAGCCTCATTCAGCTGAGAGACTACAGACAGACTTATCACTTCTGTGACCCCCGGGGTGACCTTTGACTTCTGACCTGTGCAGCTGCGAGCGTCTCTGGACAGTTCGTAGCCGGCGGGGCAGAAGCAGTGGAAGCTGCCGGGCGTGTTCACACACTGATGCACACACAGCCGGCCGGGCTGAGCCAGGGGGAACAGGAGGCACTCGTCGATGTCTGGAACACACACAGGTTCACAGAAGCTAGATTATTCCATATGGATGTGAAACAGAAGCATTGGTACAAGTACACACATCCTTTACTCAAGTAGAAGTACAGATACTCTGGTCAAAGTAGAAGTACTGACTAAACTTCTTTACTCAAGTCAAAGTAAAGAAGTATGGTCTCCGAAATGTACTTCAGTAAAAAGTACCCATAACTTTGTGTCCTTGGGCACTTCAGCCTAATTTTCTGTACTCACTGTTACATGTCTGATATGTTTAATATGTCATGTAAAGCGCTTGGAGCATTCAGGAAAACTTCTCGAATAAATGTAATGAAACGCAGATTCAAACTAAAGTAACAAACCTGTTTTGAAAATGTAAGAAGTAGAAAGTACTGAAACACACACAGGTACTTTTGAATATTCCATATGTATGTAAAACAGCATTGGTTTTGTAAAATGCATGTGTGCACAAGGAACAGATGTAATGTGATAAGCGTGACAAATACAACTAATTCTTCAAATAACATACCATGCATACATCTGCTACAAATATATACACAAATTAAATACATTACAGAAGCACTGTGTTTGTAGAGAAATGTTAATTTGTCAAACCTGACAACAAAAGTTTAAGTAGAAAAAAATGACATCGACAAATACAACTGATTCTTCAACTAAAATACCACAAAAACATCAGGAATTACCACAAATATATAAATAAATACTTCCACTAAATAAGAAAATACATTAAATAAAATACATCCACAAATTCCTCCACTAAAATACATCCAGAACAACTATGCACAGCCACTAAAGTATACCAAAGAATACCACAAATTGCAGCCAAACTGACATGAAGCACCTCTTTTCACCCTCTGTCTGAAACCAGAGCCCAGTCTGCTCTGATTGGTTAGCTGGCCAGCTCTGTTGTGATTGGTCAACCGCTTAAAGATGTCCCGCCCCTTAGCCTATCACGTACAATGTGTTGGAGCGCTAGCCAATAAGAGTGTGAGTGTTACGTAGTGATGTCACTGTGTTCCGGAAGTAAACAAAGTCGTTGGATGTATTTCTCACCTGTGCAGATGTTGTTGTCTCGGCCTGAAATGGTGAATCCAACGTCACAGGTGCAGCGGGTGGAGCCCAGGAAGTGAGTGCAGTGAGAGGGACGGACAGAGGACGGGGGGGAGGACGTGGGTGAGGAGGAGGAGGAGGAGGAGGGAGGAGGTAAAGATAGTAAGGAGGGAGAGGAGGAGGAGGAAGAGGAGGAGGAGGAGGAAGAGGAGTTGGGAGAGAAAGAGGAAGAAGACAGAGCGGGAGAGACAGGGAAGGAGGAAGGAGAACCAGGAGAGAAAGAGGCCAGAGAGTTTCCACTGGCGTTTAAACCTGAAAAACAAAAAACATTATTAAAACAATAACAACTTCTGATACACCTTATTTGTTACTTAACTTATGTTTATTAAAATATGTTGCTAACAAGTGTCTAAATGAGACGACTAAACAGCATCACGGCCAACATTAGCCACCTTTAGCTTAGCGGTGGTGACGTGAAGTCATGTGACCGTGCTGTAGTTCCTTTATAGCCCAACATTAGCCTCCTTTAGCTTAGCGGTGGTGACGTGAAGTCATGTGACCGTGCTGTAGTTCCTTTATAGCCCAACATTAGCCACCTTTAGCTTAGCGGTGGTGACGTGAAGTCATGTGACCGTGCTGTAGTTCCTTTATAGCCCAACATTAGCCACCTTTAGCTTAGCGGTGGTGACGTGAAGTCATGTGACCGTGCTGTAGTTCCTTTATAGCCCAACATTAGCCACCTTTAGCTTAGCGGTGGTGACGTGAAGTCATGTGACCGTGCTGTAGTTCCTTTATAGCCATGCGTTAGCTTTTTACTTCAGAAATCCTAAAGTGGTGTTAATATGTGGAGATTATCCAGCTTAAATGTGTAAGTATCATAAACGTTTGTTTGACAAAGAGATAATTTTCTGATAATACAAAATCACATGGAGAAATCCCATTGTCTTTTTGCGAAGGGAACCAGGGAGATGCTGCCTTCAGGGTCTGTCACATTATAACCACTCATAAAACTTTACAGTGTGTTATTGTCTTACGTCTGCACATGGGCTGCTGTCCGCTCCACCTCAGTGAGTCCAGACACACTCGTGTTCGCGGGCCAATCAGCTCGTAGCTTGGTTTGCACAGGAAGTGGACCTCGTGTCCGATGCCAAACACCCGACCCAGTCTCCGCCCGTTAGCGGGGAGTTCTGGTTTGGAGCAGGTTGCTGGAAACAAAAGAGAGAGAGACATTCAGCTTCAGAAACTATTTTGTGAGAATATTTAAAAATATTAAGGAAAACATTTCCTAAAAATATGAGAACAATTACTGAAAAACGATGTGAAATGTCTGGAAAACGGTCGGAAGATTCCTTAAAAATTCCAAATGTCTGTATTTTTTGGGGAAACATACAGAGCAAATATGCGAACAACATTCAGAATATGTTAGGGTTATACATGTCAAATGTACAGTGGGAGTTTAAGTCCATTTATCAAGAGAAGCAGAGAGTTCTCTTCCAGCCAGAGGAGATTTGTTGTGCAGCGTTATTGCAGGTATTAAAGGTGTTATACTGTTTTTCATCAATACATGAACGGCCAACATCTGATCAGCTCATTTTCAGACAGGTTTTTATAGAAATGGATCAAAAAGAGAGAGAATCTTTGTTCCTGAAACTTTCAGAGTCTCTTTCCACAGAGGGGACACATGTTGATGTAGAAGAGACATGAAGAAGAGGGGACACATGTTGATGTAGAAGAGACATGAAGAAGAGGGGACACATGTTGATGTAGAAGAGACATAGAAGAGGGGACACATGTTGATGTAGAAGAGACATGAAGAAGAGGGGACACATGTTGATGTAGAAGAGACATGAAGAAGAGGGGACACATGTTGATGTAGAAGAGACATGAAGAAGAGGGGACACATGTTGATGTAGAAGAGACATGAAGAAGAGGGAAACATGGAAAAGAGGGGACATGGGGACGTGAAGTCATGTGACCG